TTATATAAAGCAAGAAGAGCCAATATTTAGCAGTACCCTGGATGTAAGGTAAAAGGAGAGAGGGAGACTAAGATGGCACCACATACGAGCACTAAACAATTTCCTGCAAAATCCTTGAAAAACCTTATGGAATTAAATTTAATTATCTTTTCAGAAGTTATGTATTATTGTGGGCTGAGAGGATCAATGGATCAAAGGACTGTACTGTAGTAGTCAAAAATGGTATTTTGGGACAATATGTGTGAAATGGATAGCCTGGAAAATATCTAGGGGGAGATGAATGTAGATTCCCCATTCCAGTTTTGTTATACCCTAGTCTTTTGACCCTGTACCCAAAAGGAGTGTACTTTTGTCTGCTAAACACCTAGTGCATGGGGCCAAGAAGACCAAAAACCCAAGATGTATATAGGAATGACTGAACTATTCATGTCTGTTTAGGTACGTCTACACTGTACACTTATTTCAAAATAAGCTATTTCAAAATAGTTATTCTGAAATAACTTATGTCAAAATAGCATGTCTACACTACAGGGAAGCCTCAAAATTAGTCCAAAGCAGGCTTCCCTAATGTGGATGCACTAACTTAATTTAGAGCCCCAGGAGGCACTGGGGAGGAATAATTTAGAATAGCCCTGATGATGGGCTATTTCAAAATAGCAGCAATGAAGTGTCTACATATGTCTTATTTCAGAGTAAGCATTATTCCTCATAGAATGAGGTTTACATATTCCGGAATAAGCCATCTGCTATTTTGAAATTATTTTAAAATAACGGAATGGCTGTGTAGATGCTCACATTGTTATTTTGAAATAACTCTAGTTATCTCGAAATAACTGTGCAGTGTAGATGCACCCTTAGTAACTTGTGACCCAGAATAAACTCTTGGTAGGGCTTGAAGAACTGGCAAGAGACAGAGCCCTTAGTGGAGTTGCAGAGGAAGTTTATTAGCATACATTGTTGTAACTCATAATTGCTGGCATTTGTGGCTGTTCTTAGCTTTTGGGGAGGAAGCAATGCACAGAAGCTGTCCCTGATTAGGTAGCTCTGTCTTGCTGGATATTTCACAGTGGAGACAGGAAAATCTTTGCTCTAGAGGGAGAGAGATGTGTGTCTCTCCTCAAAGGGTGTCATCTTAGGAGCCAGGAGCATAGAGTAAGGACCCTTGAGAAATCAGAGTGGGCTTACAGGAGCAGTTTGCCTGTACTGTAAAACCAAGGCTTAAAGTTTGGGTGGCTCAAGAATCATGGAGGTCTTCAGAATGGTCAAGAAAAAAGGGAAGGTTGAGTCCAGGGAGATGTGGAATTCTGCATTTTCTGTGTGGAGTCTGACTTTCTAGCTGAACATCCAATTAGACATAGTTTCAAGTGTAGGGCTAAATATGTGCAAATGAAGCCTTGGCCCTCTGCACTTAGCTAAGAACTGTTCATTGGCGAAGAACTAGGAAAGCCCAGCCTCAATGGAATGGAACAGTGAGAATCCAGGTTTAAGAAGGCTAAAGGAAAAAAAGTTGAAGAGAAGATGGTTTGGTCAAGGAATTTGGATAAGGTAGCCAGTGCAGACAGTAGATACTGATCTGTGCACTCTGACGGACGTATAACTTACTGTAACACTGACTGAGATGAGGTATGTGTCTGGGGCCAGGAAATAAACGAGCTTAACCTACAGCCATACCATGCAAAGGTCACATGGAGCGCGATGCTGAAGCGGTAGGAAAGACAAAGATTTAAGAAAGGTAATTCAGATGCAAGCTTAAAGGAAAAAGTAAAAGAATCAAGTGAGAGGAAGTTGAGAATATGAGATATGGACTGTGTGAGGAAGCAAAGGTAAGTTGGGATCATTAACATAATGAAAATAGGATTGTAGACTACTAATAGGAAGATATTTTGGAGTTGCTTTTTTATAAAGTTTATAGTAGAGCACTTAAAGGCTCCATTGTATTAGTCACTGCATATACCGATACAACAAGATAGACCTAGCCTCAGAGAATTTAAAAACTAAATACAAAGAAGTACTGTTATTCCCATTTTACAGATGAGGAACTGAGCCATAGAGCTTAAGCAATTTTCTGGAGTTTACACAAGAAATCTGTAATAGAGCTGGATCTCCTGAGTCTGAGTCCAGAGCCTGAATGAGTAAAAGAACCATTTTGTTCTCTGTGATGATAGCAAAGGAGAAGGTCACAGCTGCTATGAGGGGAATACACAACATATGGGGAGGGGAGGAGCTCCCATGGCATGGTATGGTGAAGTGTCTGCAGCTGAGAGCAATGTGATGAATCTGCAAATGTGATGATGAATTTTGGTTTTTCTTCTTCCTACTCTGGAAGGTACCAGGGCAGCCAGAAGGGAAAGCTCCAGGGCAGTTGATGAGAGCAATGGTGCAGTGTCACAAGTATAGGTGTCACACTTTTAGTAAGGGACCTGTGATTTTTTTAAAAAGAGCACGTACAGACCACCAGAGACCAGCTACTTTATAGACATTGTTGGATTTTAATATGAACATACAGAGCATTGTTGCATCCACTATTGTGTGTTTGCCTCAAATTTTGTAGAAAATGGTCCAAGTGAGGGTGTCTATTGAAAGCTTATGCTTTGCTGATTCTGTTTAATGGCTCATATGCCTGTATGATTTTTGTATGTGAAGTTGTAAATATTGGCTCTATACTTGTATTTCAAGTATTTGTTTCAGAGAGATTTCAACAGGTGTAGCCCACCTATTGTGAAAGGATGGCTACTCAAGTGAATAGCAGTGCTTCTCTGACAATCAACCTTAAGTGTTGCCAATACACATCTGAGCACTTTTGCTGTAAACCTGCAGTCAAGCAGGTAGGAGATGGCAGCTTGCCTAAAAAGGACTTGGAGAGGTGACCTGCTCATGTGACAAACTCCATTTTGGGAAGTACTCTCACACAGTGAGAACCATGGAATGCCCTCTACATGGGCAAGATTATAAAAAGGGCCCTAGAAGGTCCTCCATTTTGTCTTCACTCCTGGTCTTCCCTTCAGAAGTATCTTTGCTATGAACTGGGCTCAGAAGGTCTGATGAACCCTTCTTACAAAGGATGTACAAAAGAAACTAGAAGTTTATTCCATCTCTTCTACAAGCCTGCACTAAGAGCCCATATCTCCCAAAAGCAATGTCTCACCCACAAAGATTCTCCTTCCCCTGTTGCTGTTTGTTGGGAGAAGGGGATGGGGGGGAGGAGTTTGTGGGGGGGGGGAGGTTCCCATGGATAAATTTTGTAATATAAAAATATAAACTGAGTAAATCTAACTGTTCCTAATCTGTCATTTTTGGTTATATATTTTTGCTGTGCTCAGTTTAAAATTTGATCAATTTAAATGCTGCCTTATACTGACTTCTTGTTTTAAATGTTATGCTCATATTCAAAATAAATCAAACTTTACTTCTTCCTATATTTTATTTTATTTTATTTTATTTTATTTTATTTTATTTTTGGTTTGTGTTTTATCCTTTTTCTGATTTTAGTCCTTTTTGTTGTTTTAAAATATCTGTTTATGCTTCTCTTTTTTGAACATTAACCCTGATGCTTTTCCTTCCCAACTGCTAATATGAACTCTTACATAAAATCACAAAAGTGTGGTAGCCCAGGTGAATGAGGTGTTGGTAGAGAAACCTGGTGTGTTGGCTGCCCAGAATATCACCTATGGGTGAAGTCAGTGAAAGAGGGTGGTGTGTTCCATTCCTCTTCAGTTCTCCTGTGTTAAAGTAACTGGACTTCAAGAGATGGGGAGAGAAAGGATTTAAAATTTTTTAATTTACTGCAGAGCATTGCTATGAGTGATAGAACTCCTTTGTTGGCTACGCTTGCCCTGTCCATTTTAACTGAGTGTTATTGGGTGGGGGCTTGTTTACTATGGATTTTGCCGTGCAGCTAATGTATATCTAGTGTCTCTAATCAATGTCACTTATATCACAATAGCTCATTAAGCAAAAGACCTGTCACTTCAGGGGCGGATAATGGACCACAATGGAAAATTTAATGCACTGCAAGGTCCATTACCTGAATTGTGAAGTTCATGATGAAAGTGGACCATTCCTACTTAGAAAATGTGTGATAAAAACATTTAAAACACATGTTTTTATTTTGCTATTGTTTAAAGTGATGAAAGATACATTTTCATTTACCTGATTTAATATTTGGGAAGAAGATATTATCCAAGATATTTACCAAGGGCATGATATCATCTATAAACATGGAAACCAGTGGTGATAAAGTGTGAAAATTCTGACAGGCTTCTTATAGATGTATTTATAGGAGCAGAGGAAGAAAAATAAAAAGTCGGGCAGAATAGAACAAAAACTGGATTACGTACAACCAGATGGAAGCCCACTATAATGACATTTGTTTGGCCTATTCAATGATTTTTTTCATATGTAAATTAATGAATCTCTTGCTCCTAATTTATTTTGCTGACTTTAAGAGAAAGCCCTATACATGCAATAAAAAAAAATCTTCATCTGTCTAGGCTTTTCTATTGATAACTATCACTGTAATATTTGAGTACTACTATTTAAGGGAAAATTATAGTTTATAGTATTCCCCAGAATCATTCCATGGAATGGAATGAGATATAGATCATATATACACAAAATATCCATGTCTACTATATTGTATGGGTTTTAAACTAATTCCCATAAAAACAACTAAATTTCTACAAAACCCTTGTGATTTCATCCCAGTCAATTCTGCTGGACTTTTCCATAAGGTATAATTTATCTGTGTTGGCATGTATTATGTACTACTATATATTATGCAATCAAACATTTTTTCCAAAACAATTGAATACATATTTGTACGGTACAGTAGAAAAAAGTAGATGACATAAGGTAATACTATATAGCTTCCTCACCTTGCATGGGATCTTGCGTATTCCATTAACTCCATAAAGAGTTAAGTCTCATCAGTGCTTTGGTGAGAGACTGCAGAAAATGTTGTTAGTAATTTTGTAGGTGATTCTCTTCCTTCTATGCCCCAGACTTACCATTGAGATCATGTGAATGGACAGCAGTCCTCTCATGGAGCCCCTGTTGACTTGAGTGGGATTCCAGGTGAACTCTACAGTCTGCTGTCAGTTACAGGATCAAGGCCTACCTCTATACCAAAAGTAAATCTCTTTACTGACTTTAACAGCCATTGTACATAAGTGATGCTATATTTCAAATGGTACTCAAACTAGTACACCAATTTTTGTCATTACAAATCATAAGCAATTTTCATAGGATTATGGATGCTACTTCATTAGATTCTGCCCACCTACTTTCCCCCGAAGCTGAAACTGTGTAACATGTCCTTAATCTCTTACATTATTGTGCATTTCTGGGAATCATTAACTATCACATAGCCTCACAATTTATCACATTGGTATCACCCCAGAGCTCAAATATCATTTATTTCATGATATCATTTCTCTTAATTTGCCCTCAACTCCAGGCCTAACAACCTTTATAAACATTCTAGAAACTTTGCTAAGAAAAATAAGTGCATTCTCCTTACATGGAATAGTAACCTCCCCACCCTCCCATCCTAAATATGCTCCATAATACTTAAAAACATTGTTTTTAAGAACTGTATGGTTTAGTCATTCTAAAGGGATTTGGGGATACACTGTGGTAATAAAAGGGACTAAAATAGTTCATGAGTTGTGAAAGAGTAACCTCAAATCCAAACAAACCAAGAATAGGCTCTTCATGGGAAAGATGATCTGCAACTATCAGGGTGAGAAACAAGGAGTTACTCCCCAAGGCCGCAGAAAAAGCAGTGGAGGACAATAGCCTTTGAATCTGTTGCATCATGCCCTGCATAGGGAAGAAGTTAGCGTGTGGATTTACCAAATCATTGGTCCACTGGACCACATACATGTCCTCACAACCTCACTACATACTAGGGCAGGTGGAATCCTCCACAGGAAAAAGTTGCATAGGTTGCAGAGATCCAGGATCTGCTTTCTACATTGTGCCCATCATGCAGTGAAGCCACAAGGGTTTGGCTGACTGTTTTCAGTGCACATGAGGTAGAAAGGTTATAGTTGTCCTATGACATTATATCCCATAGTCTTTATGAAAATATGCTTATGATAGGAATATGCCATAACTGGGATATGCTTTATGCAAGATAATTCAAGTAAGGTAGCATTGGAAAGGCTATGCTTTACTGAATATAATTATGAAGTTTGTATGTGTGTATTATTTTTATATCTGAAATTAGGAGTATTGACATTTGTATCTGTCTTTCATAGGCTATTTTGCATGACTCCCACTGCTGACACTTCAGGTATTACAATAAAAAAGCCAGAGAGGGCTGATGGCCCAATAGCAAAGACAGTGGACTGTGAAAAGACTTGGCCTTTCCATACTGCTACCAACTCATGGATGTTGGGATACTACAGAATCAGGTGACCTGGTCACTTGATACTAACCATCTCCTGTACTTTTCAGCTGAGACGTGTGGAATCAAACAAAGGATTCTCACCTTATGGAAATTCTGTATAAGGCAGAGGAGGAAAACAATGATTGTCTTCAGCTTCACCTCTGCTTTCCCACCCCAAAAAGACACTTGAAAACACCTGTAAACAAAAGGACTGTAACTAAATATGAGGGAGAACTGCTGGACCAATGCTAGAAAGACACCTCTGGGCTAAACATAAGAACCAAAGGTCCATCTAGCCCAGCATCCTGTCTGCTGACAGTGGCCAATGCCAGATGCCCCAGAAAGAGGGAACACAATGAGTAATCATCAATGATCTCTCACCTGTCATCTATTTCCAGCCACTGGCAAACAGAGGCTAGGAACATCATTCCTATCCATCCTGGCTAATAGCCATTGATGGACCTAACCTCCATGAATTTATCTAGCTCTTTTTTTAACCATGTTAAAGTACTGGGCTTCACAATATCCTCTGGCAAAGAGTTCCACAGGTTGACTGCAAGAAGAAAAGCTTCCTTTTGTTTGTTTTAAACCTGCTATCTAATCATTTCATTTGGTGCCCCCTAGGTTTTACCTTTTGGGAACAAGTAAATAAATGTTCCCTATTCACTTTTTCCACACCAGTTAGACCTCTATCATATCCCCCCTTAGTCTTCTCTTTTCTACACTAAGGATATGTCTATACTGCAACATTATTTCAAAATAACTAGCACTATTCTGAAATAACTTACTTTGCACCTACACAGCAGGCAGTTATTTCGAAATAGTGTTAGAATATCGTCAAGCTGGAGGACTTCTTACTCCGACTCCTGTAACCCTCATTGTACCAGGAGTAAGGGAAGTTGGAGGAAGAGTGCTCTATTTTGAAAAAAATTCTGTGTAGATGCTCCCTATTTTGAAATAAGATATTTTAAAACAAACTATGCAATTGATGTAGCTTATTTTGAGTTAAGACCTACAGTGTAGACACACCCTAAAAGTCCCAATCTTTTTAATCTCTCGTCATATGGGACCCACTCCAAACCTGTGTAGGTGCAAATCATTTTGGTGGCCTTTATTTGAACCTTTTCCAATGCCAATAGAGGACCTTTCTCTTATCCCATGACAACTTACTTCACTTACCAGCCTTTGGTCAGGGACCTTGTCAAAGGCTTTCTGGAAATCTAAATACACTATATCCACTGGATCCCCCTTGTCCATGTGTTTGTTTACCCCCTCAAAGAACTCTAGTAGATTAGTAAGGCATTTCCCTTTATAGAAACCATGTTGACTTTTCCCCAGCAAATTATGTTCATCTATGTGTCTGGCAATTTTATGTTTTACTATAATGTCAACTAATTTGCCTGGTACTGACATTAGACTCACTGGTCTGTAATTGCCAGGATCACCTCTAGAGCCCTTTTTAAATATTGGCATCAGATTAGCTATCTTCCAGTCAATCGGTACAGAAGCTGATTTAAAGGATCGGTTACAAATCGCAGTTAATAGTTCCACAATTTCACATTTGAGTTCTTTTAGAACTTTTGGGTGAATGCCATCTGGTCCTGGTGACTTGTTACTGTTAAGTTTATCAATTTGTTCCAAAACTTCCTCTAATGATATCTCAATCTGGGACAATCCCTCAGATTTGTCACCTATAAGGAATGACTCAGGTTTGGGAATCTCCTAACATCCTCTGCCTTGAAGACTGAAACAAAGAATTCATTTAGTTTCTCTGCAATGACCTTACCATCTTTGTGTTTTCCGTTTGCATCACAACCGTCCAGGGGCCCAATGGATTATTTAGCAGGCTTCTTCCTTCTGATTTCTTAAAAAACATTTTGTTATTACTTTTGGGCTATGTCCACACAATAGCCTCTTCTGCAAAAACATGCAAATGAGGTGAAGCATGGAATATTGCCACGCCTCATTTCCATAATTAATGAGTCTCCGTTTTTGCGCAAGAGGCTTTTGCATAAAAAGGAGCCCTCTACACAGCTCCTTTTTGTGCAAAACCCCCCTCTTTCACAAGAGCCGTTCTTCCTGAAAAAAATGCAGAAAAAATCCCTCTTGCACAAAAATGGAACCTCATTAATTTGCAAATGAGGCGCAGCAATATTCCACACTTCACCTCATTTGCGTATTTTTTGCACAAAATGGGTTCAGTATAGACATAGCCTCTGAGTTTTTGGCTAGTTGTTCTTCAGACTCCTTTTTTGGCTTTTCTTACACGCTGAAACTGACTCTACCTAAAACAATGTTTAGGGTGAAAAATTATTACTTGTAACCAGTTTCTATAGTAATCTAGTTTAGTTTGTATGTTTTTTATTACTTTCTAAGTAAGCTGCTTTGTTCTGTTTGCTCTTTCTTTGATCATATAAAATAAACTTTTTGTAGTTAATTAACTTATTTCTGGTGTGTAAAGTAACCTAGTCTATACGCTTTCCAACTGGGAGGGACGGGAAGTTGTGCATGCCTTCATCCACATTGAGGGATGAGGTGAATTTCAAATAATTTTGGGTTTGCATTCCAAAGGGTGTGAGCATCTGGGTGCTGAGGCACGTCCTTTAAGATAATCCCACTCACAGCTGATATCAGTCTTCTTCAGTCGAGTGTGGCCCTGCCTTTGTGTACGCTAGAGGCTGGAGGAAGCTTAAGCACTTGGCTCAGCAAAAGAGGATTATAGAGTGCTGAGGCTGGCAGAACGGGTGGACTCAGTGGTATCTTCAGCACCTTAGGTCAAATCCCAGTATGTCCAACCAATCACATGTCCCTTTCATAATTGCTTCAGAAAATAAGGCCCAAGTTTGGGCTTGCTTTTAAGTGTGTTGGGGGGAGGGGAGAGTTGGAATGGACTGTGTTGGGTCATTAAATAACATTTTACAACCAAAACCTTTTTATAAGATTCCTGGAAAGCCTCATTTCCAGAACCAAGAAAGAAAGCTACACTGGTTTTAATAAAAGTCTGGGTTTGAAAGGAAGAAAAATTATTAACATTTTTAAAAACACACAATGTAGAAAAATTGGGAGAGGGGGGATCATAATGATTATCAGAAGTTACATATCACAGAAAATTGATACGGGAAGCAGAAGGACTCCAGGAGAAATCTATGGTTACAGAGATGATGACAATAAGGCTTTTATCAGTACATGATGAACAAAACGAATCCTAACAATCGTATTGGTCTATTTCCAGATGGAAATGGCAGAATTGTGAATAATAAAATAGGAAAGAGCAGCAGTATTTCCTAAATATAAGCATTTGCTAAATATTTCTGTTCTGTATTAGGGAAAAGGCCATATGATACAGTCTTATCAATAATGATGATGAAACCACTTTCCATCCCAATGGTAAATCAGGAAGTTTTTAACTGGAGCTGACATTGATTATGTGATTATGCTGCAATATTTATTTAGATGTGATTTTTTAGAGAACATATCTACTAAAGAAACTTGCTTTGCCAGAAATGAATGAATATAAAAAAATTGCATAGCTATTCACATAATTTTTGCAGTATTTGCTCATATTTGATAAAAGTCAATGAACAATCAACCATCCTCTCATGTAGTTAGACTCTTAAGTTGCTGTATAACCATTCAGCAATAATCATGTCATTTATTGTAGGTATTAAGTGTCTATCACCTTGATATTTAAGAACCTACCTGAATATTACACTTCAAAATATTGAAGGAACATAGAAATGTTGTAGCATAATGTATCTGTATTTACCGCATGGCAGCTTAATCACTGATTAAATACTAGTAACAATATGAAGATTGACATATAAGCCACAGGAGAAAGCAAAGTTAACTGCACAAAGGTGAATTTGCTATAAGTGGGATTTGTTTCTATCCAAAGAAATTGCATACCTACTTGGAACCCAGTGCTGCAAACACCTGAGCATGTGAGCCACTTAGCTCCTTTGGTAGCTCCCTGGAATTCAATAGGACTTGTCAAGTGTGTAAAGTGGTTCATATTCTTCAGACTTTGCAGGATGGCATCCATAGATAGGAAATCAGCTATTGTCCTTTACAATACTACATCAGCTTTTAAAGTCAGTGATCTGAGAGTGGTAAAGGAAACAACATTTACCAGTAGTTCAAAGGTTTAGTTTTCCTTGTCTCCTGGATTCACTCTTACATAATTCTAAGCATCCATGGTTTGCACAGACCCTTTCAAACTCTGTCAAAATAACACATACTCAACCATTAGAATTGTGTCTTTATACAGATGATAGTCATAAATTAAGAAAGTTGTTTTCTCCAAAACACCAGCTATTTAAATTTAATACATTGAGCTGATAAAGATCTAAAGGATTAAAATATGGAGTTTTGATCCATTGCAGAAAAGAGAAAGGCTTAATGCTATTAATATTGGATTTTTACTTTTTCCCCCATGAAGAGCTAACTGCAGTAATTATATTTTGGCCCCCACAGTCCCAGAACATCTTTAGGACACCTGCTGTCATTTCTGTTACAAAGAGCTTGTTAGGGGCAAAAAGGAGTAAACAAAAAGTAGATGATGAGAAAAAGAATGCAGCAGTATTTAGTAGTTCACAAAATTAACCAATATTTTCTTTAACAAATCATCTTCTTCTGTGATATACATTGAAGAATTAAACTTAAATTAGCTCCTTAAAGTGGTCTTGAGACTTTAATTATTCAAAATGTACACAAATTTAATGAGTTTTTAAATATTAAAACTATTCTCTATTGTCACTACTGTGAGCTCTTAATTTACAGAGCAATTAAGTCAGGACCCTCATTTATCAGTACATGTGCGTTTGTTGAAAACGTAGTCAGTTTTTATTAATTGATGCTATAGAAATACTGAGTTAAAATTAATGCGTGTGCTTCAGAGGTCATGCCGGCGGTAGTGGGTAGCTATCAAGGAGCAAGACGTGAGATAAATAAGTAACTGCTGCTTCCTGATTACACTAGAGATATCTGAAATATTAAATGGCACAATGGGCACTATTCTTAGCCAAAATGCTTGCAAGCAAATGCCCCCTGAGTTTTTCTCTGGCAAGCATCTGTCATAGTGGAAGCTGGGAAATAGGGAAACTTCAAAGCTATAGTTTCTGATTATTAGCAGATTGTGTAGTGCAATGTTCTTACATTTTAATGTAAACTGAGTGGTGATGAGCTGAGAGGGTAGAATTAAAAAGTATTCCAACTTCCCTTTGTTCTTTGGTACATGGC